GGGTCTGGTAGACACTTCCACTTAAAACCAGACATGCCAGGTAAGCCACCTGCAGTCAGTAGATGGCACTAAATTACAACTATTACTCATATTTTACAGCTAAATCAGAAGGTAGGACAAGTGCAACACTGGGTCTTGGCTCCAAAGAGCTCTGGCTGTGGTTGTGAGGTGAGACCCAACACAGAAGGTGCTCCAAGGGCAGGTGGTGCAGCAAAACCTGTGGCACTTGCTCAAAGGTAAAGCACAGATTAGTCCTGCCAGCCTTGGCTGCACCCAGCTCCAGGGACTGTACAGACACTGCTGCTGGCTGTGGCCAGGGCAGAGGTGCTGCATTAGCCATGACCATGCTCTAACCCAAACATCACCCTTCGTTGCTTTGCCTGTTGGTGAGTCACCTGTAGTCAAAAGCAGGGACATTGTACCACTGGCAGAATCTCACTGAGCTGGGAGGAGACAATGTACTGAAGCCTCTAATGGGTTGGTTTGGTTTTTGTTTTGTGTCGTTTTGTTTTGGTGATTTGGTCCACTTTGCCATGCATCAGCAGCAAGCATCTTACCTGAGACAACTGTAGAAGTAAGTGGCAATGTGCATCGTTTCCCCCCTCAGCCTAACACTACTAGAGCTTCCCACTACATTACTAAATGAACCAACAGACAAAATATCAAACAAGCAAAAAGGAGCATCTCCTGTTGCACCCCAGCCACCCCCAGCATGGAGCTATCTGAGGAGGGGTCAGAGCTAGGTTGGCAGGACCCATTTCATCTTTGTAGCTACTTGTGTCCTGGGGTTGATGTCTTCCATGCACATTTCAACAGCCAGCTTTCAGGTGGGCTCAGCATCACACTGAAGTCTGCCTGCCAGTCAGAGCTGGAAGAGTGACACTTCTCCTGCAAGTATTTAAAAACCACCTAATTCTGCAATTAAAACCAAAACAAATCAGTCTGAAAACACTCAAGTCTAAAGTTAAAGTTTATTTCCATTTTAGAAAGAGGAAAATACATACATGAGTATCTTATGAGTTACACAAGTGACAGTGTGTTGTTCTTTTCCATGCCTTGTTCCCACTACTGCCTGGCACTTTGAGTTAAGCTGATGTATTTCTCAGTGCCTTTCAGCTGCTTTACAATACACACACAAAACAGTTTCCAGTGGAAGTCTGGGCAATATTAATCCACCTCAAATCAATTTTTTAATGTGGTATAGAAGACACATCGTGAGCATGACCTGGGCTGGCAGTGTGCAGGGAGCAGGGGTGAGCCCTGGGGCGTGCGCCTGGCACCTGCCTGACCCGGCCCTGCCCTGCAGCCCACAGGCTGTGCACTGGCACCTGCCCGTCCCATGGGTGGTAGCTGACTACAGTATTCAAAATCTTTTGCTTCCACCCAGATTCTTTGCAGCTGCAGCTCCAAGCACAACCAAAGGCAAACAGGAGTGCCCCAAGCTTCACACACACACCACCAAAAACCACAGGCCCCTGGCTGGCGAAGCGCACAACCAGCAGATGGGTCAGCTTCTCCACTGTCTGTATGGGATACTGCCATCATTCTGGTACAAATAGAGGGTCTTTTCATTAACAGCTGGCTTAAAAAAGTAATTTACCTGGCTCAGTTTGAAAGATTAAACACCTTTTGCCACTAATTCAACACATTCTCCACTTCACAGGTCTGTAATGCGCTTGAAGCGCAAGTGGTCGTGCCTGATGTTAGGCCAGTGTTTGAGCACTTTGCTGGACTGGGACTAAGGCCATGAGCTCCTTGCACAGCTGAGAGACAAGGAAAGCAAGAACAACAAAGTCATCTTACCCTGCCCAGCTCTGGACTCTGAATTTAGGTACTCATGTTGAGAGTCAGTCCCCCTGCACGTTCAGTAAGGCAGGGAAACTCAGCCACTCCCCCCTTAACCAACTACATGGGGTAGGTAGAGAAACTGGTTTCCCTACTTCAGCACTGCACTGCCATGTCCCTCAGTGGGAGGTACTGACTCCAACTGACATTCTTGGTCAGAAAATTGGGTTAGATGGTGAAATAATGATGTACTGATCTAGCTAAACAGTGTTGGTTCTCAATAAAAATACTGATTAATAAGGAAAAAAAATAAATGCCTTCAACAGAAGTGGTGGTTAAAATATTTTATTTTTATATCATAGAACATACTGTTGTTTACTTTAAATCACTTTAAAGGCACACATTGTTAAAAATACTTCAAATTTTCATCACATGTACAAATGCATAAAACAGATGTACATGTCACCAAAAAAAATACAATATGGCTTCATAAGGTTGAGGCGGGGCTGGGACAATTCAACTTATATTTAAATGGTACAGGATGCTGTTAACACTGAAAGGACTGACTAGAACAGAAAAGAATGGACCTAAGCCACTGATTATGTTACACAAACAGTACAACACATTGAATATACAACACTGAGCATTCATGTATGGATTCACAGGGTTGTTAGTTCTGCAAATTTGTCAGGCTTGCCAGTGTCACTGAGTGAACAGTGCATGTGTATGACCTGCCAGTTTGCAATAATGGGAAGGTAAATTAAAAACTCTCCGTCCACAAACAGGCTCCTTGAAGAATCTGCTGATATGCTTTGTATAAGAAAAAAAATAAAAAACAGTGAAACAACAGGCTTAAGGTATTAAGTGGAGAGAATAACTGAATGATGAGTGGACAACTTACACAGTAATCACTTCTGGCTGAAAAAGCACAAAACATTAATTCTGCAAGAATGCTCCATGACAATCATTTAGCATTAGTCCCACCCAAGTTTAAGGCTCATATCTAAAATTTACCTTAGATTTGTTTTCCTTTGTGTAAAATTACCTGAGCACAGATATCAAAGAACTACAGAGCTTTTAAAATATCTGTAGGTACCTTAAAAATCTGTAGACAACTTAAAGCAATACATCAATATATTGAATTCTACCAGCTAAAAATTCTCAAAAAAACCCCAACCAACAAAACAATGTTTTGGTGGGTCAGTAAAGCCAGGAGAAGAATGAGCTTAAGCTTTTGCTTTAATCTTTTAAAAATGTACATAAAATGTAATAGTATTATTCAAATAGGACTGCTTAATTGTAAACAATACATTAAACCTTTAAAAAGAAAAAAAAATTACCAGGAATCAAAATTCAGGCAGTCACTCTAGTCTTCTAGAAATTGTTTACAAATGCTGCTTCTCCTCTTGCTAGAGATGGCTGGTGGTTTCTGACAGAAGCAAAATAAAAGGACCCGTCTCCACTGTGTTCTGTATTATCATTTCCACTTCGTGTCCAAGAAGTGTGAATTGCTGCCACGCTCATCTGCTAGGGTTTATTCCTGCACGACTGTAAGGCCCAGATCCAGAAAAGCACCCAGCATCAGCTTAAGAGCTCTGCAGGGTCGGGTTGGGTTCAATAGGTTTGAGGATAAACATGCACTTAAATGATTTGCTGCACTGGGACTCAAGTTTTCAAAGTGCAAGGCAGAAAAGCATCAGGTTGCATGGACAGACCAGCTCCCAGCAAAGTCAATGCCATCACAGAGAGGAACTTTAGACCCTTAGTTTCATGTAAAAAGCTTGAAAAAGACAACACTGAACACACTTCCAGCAAACAGCAGACTGCATGAGATGATTTCCAACACAAGGCTTTGGAAATACACCCTACTAGAAGTGTTTGATTTTATTTTATTGAACCAACCGAAAACAGCAAAGGAACACAGAACACAACGTCACCTTTTCCTCCTCCTGCCTCACACACTGGTTCCTATCTTCCATTCCCAAAAGAAACTAGTACAGATAAACACTTCAAGTGATGAGCAACTGTGTGAGAGTCTGACGAGCAAATGGGACCCTTCCACTCAAATACATCAGGTTAAAACTTCGATATGCCAATCACAGCTATTTGTATTGTTGAACAGGGACTAGCTGATTGCAGAGGGCACTTTACAATCATTGACAATCCTGTATAGAGGGTATCAAAAGTTTTCCTATGAAATATGAACCTCATATTAAATTAAAAAAAAAAAAAAAAAAAGATCAATGATGGATGGCTGCCCTGGATAAGTAAGAAAGAAAATCACAACAGTTTGAAGTACCCATAATTCTATGTATAAATAGCAGGTAATCCAAATAAAATGCTACAGCTAGTTTGAAAACTAAATTGAACACTGCTTTTCTATTAAATAGATTAAAATATTCATCTGCTGAGAAGCTACACTGATAAATAAAATATTTTCATGTATCAAAAATGAGGGGCAGGTGCTATCAATTCCAGACTTACTGTCCCAATAATGAAAGGTCCATGAACCAAAAGTTGTACAGTAGTTCTAGTCTCTTAAATTTACAATACTGAATGCAGCAGGATTTGGCTAAATAATACAGTTTAAATAAGCTAATCTAAAAGGAACAGAGTGTCCTGTAAACATCTGACACAAACCGTGCCGCGGCTGCACCTTCGCTACGCAGGAGAAAGACAGTTCAGCAATTCCACTGGTAGTGGTAAGAAGGGATGCAATCTAAAGGCAACGTTCCTGTTCTTCAGTAAGGCTTGTAAAAAATTTGAGCAATGTACGTATGACAGCCTGTACAATTCTGAAACTTTTGGAAAGCTCAAGTTTAAAAAAAAGCCTACATATTATAAGTATAAAACACACACTGAGAAGATGTCCTTCTACATTATGTGTGAAAGTGTCTGGCACCAGAAACGACCACTAGGTATTATGATACCCAAGGAAAAAGAGCAAAGAATCACTCAAGACAAGTGTCCCTGAACTTCAGAGCAGATGCAGCCAATTAGGTTACTCTGTATCGTTCTGTTCCTCGGGAAAAGAAGCCATGAATATACACTCTTTAAGCTGTCTGTACTACTTCATCAGTAATATATATTATATATACAGTACACATATATATAATATATATATTTGCATACAGATTTCTTTTACCTCCGTCTGGAATCATGTGGTTTCATGCAACACACTTACCAGGAACCAAACCTATTAATCAGAACATAGCTGGTGTAACTTGAGTATCAAATCTTTTAATATACAGCGATTCAGCGTTGCTCAGCATCAACCACCTCTGACTAGAATCCTCATCTCATCCTCCTTTCAGTCCAGTTCACACTCGTTGCCTCTGTTAACCTTTTTCAGCCACCTCCGTCACATAGTGTGCCTCTACTCGACGTTCAATGCTGAGACCTTATTTCTGTCAGCTTCTGGAGATAGTTCTGTGCTGCTGGCATCGAGAGAATAAACTGAACTGTCCTTTGACCTATTCGGTAGCAGCCGTATCCCATCAGTCCAAAAACTGTCGCTTTTACGACAAATTTGAGAATCTTACTGGAAGCCGATGGAGGAGGCACGCTGGAGCAAAAGACACACAACAAGGTTAGCATCCACACAGCTGCAAAGAACAGGCATCACCCTATCAAAAGAAGGATCTTTTCTCCCCGTCCTCCTTGCAGTGCAGGAAACACTCAGGTGACAGATGTGTCATGAACAAACAACATACTCTTCCACGTTCAAGGGCTACACCCAAATTAGATAACAGCAATAGATAATAATAAAAGCTTTTTCCAGTTATGTCTGATGCCATTCAATGGCTACAGGTCTTCACTTCCCCATCACCCTACCAAAATAACCAAGGTAACACCAAGACCTCCCAAAGAACACTAGGAGTGAATACTGTTTGTTGAACTGTTTGTAATAGGGCCGTCCACATCTCTGCTGCCCAGAGACAGATGTAAGGGAGCTCCACAGAGGGCAGTACGGGTAACTCGGACAGGTTTGCATGAAGCTGCCTCTGCTCTGGCAGGTATTGCTGGCTCTGAGGTCTTCACAGAGCCACTTGGAGGTCTCTGCACTGGCCAGCTGACAAGGGGCACACCAGGCCTACCCTGCCCTCCACGCAGTCTTGCTAACTTCGTGCACAAAGCAAAGGGTCGGTGTTGCCTTCCAACTGAAGCTGGCTTTGAAAGCACAGCCACCTGCACGGGGAGCCCTGCACCTTCACTGCCTGTTCTGGGGGACTTCAGCTGGCACGGCACGCCCAGCACGCCCAGGCTGCAGCTCAGACAATCCCCTCACAGGGGATGGAGAGGTCTCTGCATGGCATTTCAAAGAACCCACAAGCTCCTGCTTATTTATTATCCAGAAAATGTTTCTAATGTATTGAGAAGCAATCAGTTACAGTAGTGCAAAAACATTATAGGCACACTCAAACCAGGTTAGATGGATACAAGATTAGGATGCAAGCAGGTAAGAGTTTAGATCCACATGTTCATACTAGGGCAAAGTTAACTACTGGTAAGATTTTGTATATTAAGGGACTATACAGAGTTTTAAAAAAAGAATAAGCACTGAATAAATTATGGGGTAAAGGCATCCCTTTTACACCTTCTTACATGCTTCTCTATCTATTCCTTCTCAATGCCAGCCCCTCAGCACAACTTGAAAAAAAAAAAATTAAAAAAAATCCACTATAACAATCTGAGGCCAAGAGTACAGCCTGCTCAGTCAGGTTCAAGGCATGAACTTAAAAACTGGAAGTCTGAGAAATGTCTTACCAACATCGCTTTGCAACTTGTAAAATTTAACTAAATACCTGTAAAAGTGTTAAAACCTTTTCACTTTAGAGAGGTGACAGCCACTAACACACAACGCAGCAACAACATGAGGGCTAGAAAAATGTAACAAGAAATTAGTCTCAAATATAGTAAACTTATGAATGTAATTTCCATCATATTGTTTTAGAAGTTAATGGAATATGAACGTCTCACAAAAGATACTGGTATCCATTCCACTTAGTTGTGGCACTGGCATGGTAAAGATAATCAGGTCAAACAGCCTAAACTTTGATGAAAGAGACCTTCTAATGCAAACTTCAAGACACACAGACAGGCTTTTGGCTACTCGTTTCTGTAACACAACCAACATTAACCCATAGCTCTGTGGATCTGGGCAACATCATCTCGCAGCTTATTTGTGAGGATCCAGAGGAACGTGGACATCTAGTGTGTGACTCTAGGCAAGGCTTAGCCTTGAAACAGACTTAAAAACAGCTAAGCAGGGCTTCTGTACATTGCATTCTTGGATTCAGACACCAAAAGTATCTCTAGATTGTATTTTAGGTGCTCAAATACACTGTTTAGGTGGGGGGCACAGTCTGCTCTTCTGTTCTCAGAGTCTCTGAAGAGATGGGCAAGGTGCTTACAGAAACACAGTAAATGGATGTGATAAGATAAACTGACAATATTTGAAAGGCTCTGTTATCCTAACCCACTGGAGACCAGTACTAGCAGGTTGTATTATAACCTCTCCTACGCTTCTGAAGTGGCTTTGTGGCCTTTAAACACATAGTGTGAACATTTTGTTCTTTAACTCCTTGTACAAAGCAAATACATCTATTTTAATAGGTACTTTGAAGCAAGATTTTACCAGACATGTGGCTTAAATTAGCCCATATTTAGGTATACACACTAAAACACATTATTACATATCTATCTATATACAGTTAAAAACAAGCTTTAAGCAACCATGACAGCAAGCTTGCCAGAGCCAGTAGTGTCCTGACACAACAGAAGCTTTGAATCCCAATGGTTTTATTTACTGTAAGCACAACCTGCAAGCACTGCACAGCAAGTCAGTGAGCTCACAGGGCAGGGATGACAGTGGTGATGTTTCTTTCTTCAAGCTGTGACCAACAACCAAAACACAATCCAAACAGACCACTTATTGCTTGCTGTCTTTTTAGTGGGAGAAACTGTTACATCAACAGGTAAGAAAGGATGATTGTTACCTCATTATTGCCTGGATGTTTAAGTCAGAGTTCCAGTTCTTTTCAATTCCAGGTACATGACCCATCCCGACTACACCAACTACAACAGCTGGGATATATTTTCTAGGTTCAGCTAGGAGAGACACAGAGAGAAAGGAAAATATCAATAAAAAAAGCTATGAATACATAGGTAACGTGGGAGATTACAAAACTGAATTTTCCAAGTGGTAGTGACTCTTACTACTAGATATTAAAACACCTATTACTGAAAGTTAATACTCATCAGATCTACTACCTCTGATGTTCAAAGTCTGAAAAAAAAAAAAAAATCAGCATGGTTTCTAGATTTTCAGTAAACAGACTTGGCCTGGGCTCACACTCCAGCCTCAGGGTGAGAGGCTCAGCAGGTACAAGCTAAATTCATTTCTTTCCTTCCCTGCATGGGTCATGCTTCTGTACTTCTGTACTGCATCAGGAATGACCCTGGTCTTTGCTGTCTCCTGCATGGAGAGCTTTCTCCACTGCTTTGGACACTAGCAGCTGGCACACGTGCAAACTGTGACAAGACCTGGGCTAACAAGCAGAATTAACAACTGAAGATCAGTGCTCAAAACCACACCTGCCTCTACTGACTGGTACAGACTTGGCCTCAGCAAGTAACAGCAAACCCCATAACATTAGTGTGCAGGAGTTAGCAGCCACCATCTGACCACTGCAACATGTGCCACCTCTCACCTCTGATCTCCCACCTACTATCCAAATTCCACACCACCCAGTAGAAGTTAAAATGTTGCTCCTGAAAGTTTTTGGATTCCCCATCCCCCAGTGAAAAAAGGGCACCACGCCATGATAAAAATAATTCACAAAAAGCTTTCTTGTAGTAACCAGGCTGCTTTCTGATGGGGAAAATTCCACATAAATATAATATATAAATATAAAATGTAAGTTTCATTGTCTTGCTTTAAAATATCTATGCTTGACTGTTCCAGGAACAACTTAAAAAAAGAGAAGCAGTTGCCCCAACATAACAAAACTGTATTGAAAACACTAGAGCTATTATATACATTTCCAAAATTGTTTCTTTAGACTTCCTTTTTCCCCAGCTTATTCTAGGGTGGCTCTAAATCAGAGCTGCAGCTGCAGTGGAGGCAGAGCACAGCCCCTCAGCAGGACAGGCTGTCCACAGCACATCTCATCTGCTCCACCCTCCTCCCACATGATCCCATCTACTTCCAGGCAGGATTCAGAGATCACACCAGTAAGGGTTAAATAAAGCTCTGCCTGAAACCTAGTCCTAGCAGAACAGTTTATCTCTCTCTCAGAACATTTTGTGTAAAGACAGGATGAAAAACTAAATGTAACAGTCCCATCTGCAAATTCTTTGGAACAGGTCACCCAGGCAAGCAATCAGATGAAGGCTAGGAACATCCAGAAACTAGGTCTGATCTGTATCAGACCAGAAGTATATTTGAGTCCTGCAAATACTGCCCAGGAATTTCCCCTTACTATGTCCTTGGAGTAACAAAGGATTTGGACAGTGGCAATGATGCCCTACTTCTGCTCATTTGCATTGTGGGAGTTTGTATTTTACTATAATTCTTAAATATATCATTGCCTTTTTTTGCCTCTTGTGAGCATGAATGCATAGAATAGATTATATGCATATAGTATGCATACACATCTCCTAAATAAAACTGTCTCTGGCATTGTCTCTTGTTAACTAACAGACAGAGACACATGACTATCCATCAGGTAGTCACATTCTTGTCTTTTTATGGTCCCATCTTCTATTTTAAGTCCTTCATAACAAATATAAACCCCTTCCAATTTCACAGGCATTCACTAAACTGGTGACCTAAAGACTGAGGTTTTAAGAAGGTAGATTTGCAGGGAGGAAACTTAAAAAAAAAAAAACAACAAAAAAAAACAGGCAGGAGAATTGCTAAACAATTTCTCTTGTAGCTCATGACATATCCAGGACCAACAATAAAACTAACTGTCCAGCCTGCTATTTGGACCAAGCAAGTAAAGGCATCTGAGCCTCTTCCAGCCCCATAACTAAGCTAACAGGAAATACTGTGTGTCTTGAAAAACTTTATGAAGGCAGCATTGAGGTAATATTAGGCAAGGGAGATGTGGGACACAAGTGCAAACCCCTTGCTAGTTTTTCAGTCACAAGGCAGCGTTAGAGATCTGGACTGAAGTGGTTACAAACAGCACCTTCTTAAGACAGCAGACAAAAAGCAGCCAATACCTCAGTATGCTTAGAGATGGGACGGGCATGTGGATCACATATGGCAGCAAAACACTTCCAAAAGCAAGAGAAATGTAATTATTTTGGATGCCTATACCATGCTGAAACATGCAGTCACACCTTTCACTGTCATTGCCACATCAACAGGGCTCCTAGCAGCCCTGTTTATAATAAGCAAAGCATGAGGAACACTGAAATTTGCAGTAATTAATTTGGCAAGAAACGTGTTCCTGAGCAGCTAGTGATGACAACGAATTTGGTGAGGTGACAAGGTGGAAGCGAGACAGACAACATACGTCTAGACTGTCTCGTGCTGTGCTGCAATACTTGATGGCTGCCTTTTGAAAAAGCTGCCAGGCTAATTAGTATCTTCTAGTTTTAAATAGCACCATGAGAAAGGAGTCCTAATTTGGAGTCTACTGCTGGAGGTGGTGACTACAGAAGCATCCCTTTTTAATTTATGCACTGTAATCTTACGTGACATGTGGCACACTTGAACAGAACATCCCAGGCTTCCCGAGAAGGGCTCAACTGTGGACTAGAACACAAAGAACACCTTGCTGGTTATGACATCTGCTTTAAAAGAATTACTTTCTGAAGCTCGAGGTAGTTCTATCTGCTTTGCTGCTTGCTTCAGCATGTAGGTCAAGTAAATATCTCGTTCTGAGACAATCGTCCGATGAAGATCAGGGAATTCTCCAATCATTTCTGCCATCATCTGCTCCAGTAAATCCTTCTGTTTGCATTTCTCCACATCATCTTTACTGAAAGAAAGGTTAAGTTTTCTCAGTATCTGTTATGCTTTTGAAGCCCAATACAAACCAATGAATAAAACCAATTGGGTATTACACACATTATTCACCAGCCCACACTCTACATTTCTCCTCCCCCAGTTTTCTTTTCCAAAAATGAAACAACCTCCATAGACCTGCAGAACTGGATACCTAACAATGCCTCTACAGTAATGGAAAGGGGAAAGAAGAGAGGTCACTTGCCCTCAGGCAGTGGAACTGGACTTTCACCCTTCCCAGTTTGAAAGTTGACAACTCAACTGAGCAAAAGCACTAGGGCTTCAAAAGAAATAGTTACATGGCACCCCACTTCCATGGGATGTTAACAAGCTTAGAGGAGGCAACACACGGCACTCCTGAGGCAGCAGATCTGATCACTGAACACACAGAGGTTCTATTTAAGGAACCAAAAAAAAAAAGCACACCATAAGGCACAGCTGAGGGGATGCAAAGAGTTCTGCAGGTTCCTAGTGCCAATCATAGTCAGGAAAGTCAGAGTGATAAAACACTTCCCTGAGTAGAAGAATAGGAAAT